GGGGGTGTGTTTGCCACTTGTGTTTTTAAAGTATGCATTTCATGCCTAAGTGGTAAAAAAAAAAAAAAAAAAAAAAAAAAAAGCTGATAAAAACTCAAAGGCTGGATTCAAAGTCAAATTCTTAAATTGAGGGCAATGTGCAATGAAATAAAATCAATTGCTGTCTTCCATAGCTTGTAGCTAGGAAGAAATGCTAATACATCCCAAAACATCTGCACTAGTTAATATGTCAGTAGGATGGGGATGGTGGCTAGAAGATGAAACAGTCTTTGCTTTTCTGCTCTATGGGGAGAGTCCTCACTGAACTTCTGTGTCCAGCTTTGGTTGATGCATTTCAGGTAAGGTATTGACTGATTACTTCTACATGAAAACTGAAATGAGTAACTTGAGATGTCCAAAGCTTGCCCTGCAGAACAGGCTGAAAGAACTAACAAGGACATATTTAAATAAAGAAAAGGCTGCAAAAAATAACCTGAGAATAAGAAGTAGATATCAAAAAAACGACATAGGTTGCAGAGATTTAGGTTAGGTGGGCACTTCAGGCAAAACTTTGTTAGAGTAAGGAAAAATAAAAATGCTGTATTGAGGTAGTCATAAAGTTAGAACGTCTCTCAGGAATAGGACAGATGTACTTAGATGTACCAGGAGAGAGAAAAAAATCATAGCCTTGTTCCCTATAATACTGATTCTAAGGTACTTCTGTTAGTTTCTGATACCTTGTCCTCTGACTGTAAGTTTTGATGTAATTATTAGATTAATTTTTAGATGCATTAAGGATTACTGGAGATTTTTTTTTCCATTAGACCACCATGAAAACAAAACACATTTGAACAAGACACTGAGATCTGGAATTGAATTCCAAAAGGTAGGACTGATGTGGTGCCTTCCTTGCTGCGTACAGTATTTTCCTCTGTGGAGGTCTTTGCTGTATTATTTCTCTAACACTGAAACAGTATTTTCCCCTTAAATAATGTCAGGAGATAAGTAAAAAGCAATAAAGCCTGAACTCTAATGTTCATAAACCATCTTTTCCAGAGGTATTGAAGGTCACCAAGGAATTCATGGTGTGATTTCTGCAAGAAAAAATGTGCAGATCAGAGGATGATGAGTTATGATTTTGCTTGGTTTCCATTAACCTGTTTTTCTGTTTTGGGGGGATAAGTGGTTTTATTATTATTTTTGCCTCTTTCTCACTCTTCATGCACTCTTCAAAAGGAAATCTGAGGTAGAGTTGCAAAACTACAAGATTGTTTTGCTGTTTTTGTATTTTGAGACCAGAAAAAAAAGTTAAGGTTGGTCTTAACAGCTCAGCAGCATTGTCATAATATCTAAAACCTTTTGATTATTTCAAGCAGAGAAGAAGCAGAGCACATGAAAGAGTGCTGCTGAGGGCTAGGCTGGTGATGCAGTTTGCCTTCTGGACCAGGTCATAGACAGGCATCAGAAGGCAATGCTCAGGGGAAGCGGTCAGGCTGCAACTTCAGTCTATGCAAGGTAACACTAGGAAAAAAAATATTTGTATGGAAACAAGCTCTATCAGTTCTCACTCATTTCTGGCATGAGTTGACTTTTTTTCAAGTCAAGTTTCAAGCACATCATGTATCTCTTTCTGCTTACTTTCCCTCTGTGATTTTGGTTCACAATTGCAAGGATTGATGTTCCTATTTCAAAAATGAAAACATGAAGATGCAGAATTGCTTAGCTCTTAGCTCAAATTGCTTAGCTCTTAGCAGTAGAAAATTGCAATCCTAACGCTTTTGCAAGCTGGATGCTCACAGCATGCATGTTTCTCTTATTAGCAAGGTTTCTTTTCTTTATGGTGAAGTTAAGAATACATTTGTTGTAGTAGCCATGTCAGCTTCAAGTATTCCACTTGTTCAGCTTCCCACTAGCTTCTGTCACCCTACCATGCTCCAGCAGCAGTGCTGTGCTGCAAGGATATCGGGGAGAAAGCCTGGTAGAAAGTAACTTCAGAGCTGCCTCATTGGTTCAGATTTCCTTCTGTGATTTTTGCCCGTACAGATGATGTTTGTCAGATTGCGTGGAGATGGAGTAACAAAAGGCTGAAGGTCAAGAAGAAGAGGAATTTAATCCAGTTGGAGTCATTTGCAGGACTTGGTTACAGTTATCTGAGCCAAGGAGAAAGATACCTAAATTCACTTTCTTAAAGCTTTAATCACAAAGAAGCTTTTCTTTTAGAACAGTGCAGCTACTTGTTAGCCTGAGGAGCTAGCAGCTCATCTTCTAGGCTCCCCTGGAAGCCGAGTTGAAAGTTCTGGGAGGAGGCATCCCTGTATCACTTTCTCTGCTTTTACATTCAGTTGTAGGCAATTAGTGTTGGCTGCTTTTGGAAAAAGGACTTTGAGCTAAACAGACAGAATCGCAGAATCACCAAGGTTGAAAAAGACTTCCAAGATTACACGATCCAACTGTCCACCTACCACTAGAATTTCCCGACTAAACCATGTCCCTTAGTACAACATCTAAATGTTTATTGAACACATGCAGGGATGGTGACTCCACTGCCTCTTTGGGCAGCCTGTTCTGGTGTCTGACCATTCTTTCAGAGAAGAAATTTTTCCTGACATCCACCCTGAATCTCCCCTGGTGCAACTTGAGGCTGTTCCCTCTAGTCCTGTTGCAGGTTACGTGGGAGAAGGGGTGACACCCCACCACAACTTCCTTTCAGACAGTTGTAGAGAACGATAAGGTCTGCCCTGAGTCTCCTCCAAGCTGAACAATCCCAGCTCCCTCAGCTGCTCCCCATAAAACTGTTCCAGACACACTCCAGGGCCCTGATCTCTTTGTTGTACTGAGGGGCCCAAAACTGAACACAGGACTCAAGGTGCGGCCTCAGCAGTGCTGAGTACAGCAGGACTATCTATCCTCTGTACTGAGTTTCCTTGCTCCTGCTGGCAATGCTATTTCTGGTGAAAGACAGGATACCATTGGCTGCCTTCTTCTGCCCACTTGGGCACACTGATAGATCACTTTCAGATGGGCCTGCCCTAGGTCTGTTTCTTCTACAAAATCTTCCAGCCATTTTGCCCTAAGCCTGTAGTGTTGCCTGGAGTTGCTGTGGCCAAAGTGCAGGAGCTGGCACTCAGTCTTGTTGAACTTCATCCCACTGGTCTCAGCCAAGCTATCCAGTCTGACCAGTACCTATTTACCCTCAGGCAGATCGACATTTCCTGTCAGCTTGGTGTCATCTGCAAACTTACTGAGGGTGCACTCAATGCCCTCACCCAGGTCACCCATAAAGATATTGAAGAGGACAGGCCCCAGCACCGACCCCTGGGGAACACCACTTGTGACCGGTTGCCAGCTGGATTTAGCTCCATTCGCCACCACTCTCTGTGCCTGGCCCTCCAGCCAATTCTTTACCCAGCACAGTGTACCTGTCCAAGCCACGGGCTGCCAGCTTCTCCAGGAAAACACTGTGGGAGATCTTTGATCTGGTCCTATATAGCCACTTTTATGGTTCCTTTTTAACAGGTTATTAGGAAGAAATGCGTTCACCTCAATCTTTTGAGCAAGCATAACAGCTGTGACAGCGTAATGGGTTGGAGATTGCTGATCTGGTGGGGTTAGTAAATGACTGTCAAATGGTCTTATTAAGAACACTATAAACAATGGCTAAAAGACAATACTGGATGAGAAACACGGTGGGCTCCTAAAATCAATTGTGTATTAAAGTTTTATACAACAGAAGTGTGCTGGATGTGAAAAAATAATGTATTTCTAAGTAAAAATAATGCTGGCTCTTTTTCATAGCTTTGTATCAATTTGTAATGACACAGCTGCAGTTCCAGCTTAAAGTTGAGTGCGTTTCTCACTGTCTAAAAAGCTGAGGGAAAGACAGAGCACTGAGGTTAGAAAAACACCTCAGAGGGCATGTTGCTTATTTCCCTTGGGATATCTGCTAGGGACAGTAATGTGTGAAGAAATTTCAAGACTGTTTTGAGTAGAAACTCTGTGAGAAAGAAGATGCTATCAGGCTTAGAGGTCCAGGCCCAAAGGCACAGCGTGCTGCCTTCACAGCAAGACCAGGCTGAACTTCTAGTATTCCTGAAGCAGCATTTTTAAACTTTCTCTGGTATTTGATGAAGCCTCTTACACACACACGTCTCTCCAGCCATATGTCCATTTCTGTCTTAAAAAATAAAAAATAATAAAAAAAAAGTAATAACCTAAATAGAAAATTTAAAAATTGTTTTTACAGTATTTACCCCTAGTATTTTACTTATGTAATACTCAGTTATTTTTATTTTTGTGACAAGATTGTTGTGCTTTTTCTTGACGTTTTCATTTTTTAATCTCTGATTGATATTACTACATGTAATTTATTCCAGCCTCAAACTCATTAAGTACTGGAAATTTTTGCCCATTTAAGAGGTGTATTTATAACATGCCCATCGTAACTTCTGACCATTTCAGAGAGATAAAGCATAAAGCACCTTAAAGAAATGAATCTTTACTAAAACTTCTATTGCATATCAACTTGAAAGGGACTGTGCACTTCCTGAAAGGCTCTGCTAGCTTGGAGCCTCCTACCCTGAGCAGGCTGCATGGCACAGCACCACAAGTATTCCCCAGGTAAGCCAACAGTGTATGTAGGTTTTCAAGAGATCTGTGTCTGTATTGCTTTGACATGCAATCACCTTAGGAGTCTTCACTATAGAAAACTGAGTTTGCTAAACTGGCATTGTCAGATTTTTTCCCATTAAAAAATTACTTGGCTATCCCTAATCATTGCTGAAGAGGGCTATGAGAGCCCGCAGTGCTGCTTATGCACCTTTGTTAATAAGGAGGCAGAAAACAGTACTGTGTCCTTTAACATAAATGTGCACTACTGTTACTTTGCTGGGACGGTCAATTGTGCTTTATGCATTGATATTTAACTTACATTTTTCATTCTCTAAGATTTAACTGTCTTTTGTTTTTGTTTCAGTGCGTATTAAGTAAAACATTAAGGAGCTGCAACACCTGTGGAAGCGAGAGCCCGCTCTGAGATTTGATCATGCTTGTGTATGTCCCCTGCATGTCCCCCTTTACAAAGCTATGTAATGTTTACAAATCTATGTAATGTTGTATTTAGATCCTCTAAACTGGACATTTGGATGATAATGGAGTTAAGCAAAACTATTAAAAATACATGCATGGTACAGAATAAATTACATACAGAATCACAGAATGGCCAGGGTTGGAAGGGACGTCAAGGATCATGAATCTCCAACCCCCCTGCCACATGCAGGGCCACCAACCTCCACGTTTAATGCTAAACCAGGCTGCCCAGGCACCATCCGACCTGGCCTTGAACACCTCCAAGGACGGGGCATCCACAACCTCTCTGGGCAGCCTAGTATGCTGTGACATGCCATAGTATGCTGTGAAATGGCTTAGATTTTGGCCAGAGATCTCTCACATACACACACACACACACAGAAAAAAGAAAAACAAAAAGAGTTCTCATCATTGTTAGGCTTTAATCTCTTCCTACGTTTGTGTGCAGTCAGCCTTCTGTAGGCTCTGAGGTACGTTACAGCAGCCTTCCGGTACCTGAGGGGGGCCTACAGGAAAGCTAGGGAGAGACCTTTTATATGGGCAGGTAGCAATAGTACAAAGAGAAATGGCTTTAAGATGGAAGAGGGTAGATTTAGACTCGGTATTAGAAAGTCTTTACTGTGAGGGTGGTGAGACACTGGAACAGGTTGCCCAGTGAGGCTGTGGATGCCCCCTCCCTGGAACCATTCAAAGCCAGGCTGGATGGAGCTGTGAGCAACTTTGTCTACAGGGAGGTGTCCCTTCCTATAGCAGGAGGTTGGAACTAGGTGATCTTAAAGGTCCCTTCCAATCCAAACCATTCTATGATTCTTTTCCAGCCCTGATAAGGTTAATAAAACATTCATCACTGTAAGCATCACTTTGTACATACTATCTTATACAGGGATAGCGTGAGAACTGTCCCCAGATTCATTAATTTTATTCTGATTAGAAAAACACTGAAGTGGTCTCATTTACATATTGCTAAACAGACAAGATACTGGAGGTGTCCTGAAAAAATCACTGGAATCTACATTTCCATTCAGAATAGTTCCAGTTTTGTTCAAAACGTCCTGTCACCAGTAAAAGGACTGGTACAAAATAGGGCCCATTGCCTGGTCCTTGCAGCAAGTCAACACGTCACCAGGCTGATACTGAAGAAGACACAAACCTTACAAATGAGGTTCCTTTTTTTTTTTCTTTCCCCAAACTTAAAAATATATAATATCACAGCTATTATTTATAGTAAAACCTCAGATGTGCAAACAATAATTTATTTTGCAAAGGCAGAAATGGCCTAGTTATCACACTATGTAGATCTGGTGATAATGAGAATAAACCGTTTACTTGCCTTTGTTTTTAGAGTAAAATGCAGAACAGGTAACCATTAAGTATATTGTGATTTTAACATATTAAACCACCCAAAAACACTATGCAGCCTTTCCATTTCAAATAAGATTAGAAATGGTCTGGAAGTAAAGCAAAAGTTCCCACAATTCAGTGTAATTGAAACTCCAAATTGAAAGGTTGGCATATATCTCATTTTGGGAGGAAGTGAAAGATTTCCAATTCATAGTCCTCCATCATGAGTTCGAGAAGGAATACTGTAACCTCACCTAATTCAGACTCTGTCATGTGAACTGCTGGATTTTCCTATGCTTTTAGCATTAAGAAGACAGGGCAGGTTAAGTGTGGAGAACTCTTATCTTATGCTTCGCTGAGTGCAGAAAAATCAATGCTGCTGTCACGCACAGACAGAACAGCCCTGTGTTGTATGACACTGCCCACTGCTGAGCCAGAGAAAGAGCCAGGCTAGAAGCCACAGTACTTACAGTGCACTGATATGAGGAAGAGTTTGCAGCTCTGAAACAAAAGATATTACCACAGAACAATTCTTATTCTTGTTATGCCCAGAATAGCTCATAGATAGATATATGTACATACATTTAACACTGCAGTAAGTGTACTAGACCATTGCTAATGCTGATTATTGAGAGCAGGCAAAGGAAGAAGAAAGTGATAAAATATCCTCATAGAGATTTAAATAGTATATGCTCAGGGAAGGGACTGTTCTTAATCAAACAGTATTTCCTACATGAAAATGAGAAAGTGATCTGATTTTTTTGATCTGTTTTCTTCTTATTTTTTGTAAGATGAATCTAAAACTCTCAATTGTGCCATTAGGGGGCCATAAAAATACTCTATTCTATTCATTCTCAATAATGTCAAAGACTTTAGGTTACTGTTTTGCAGGGAGTGAACTTTTTCCAGTGCACACACTCAGGACTGCTATATTCAAAATATCAGATTATTTTTGATTCCTGTGATGGGTGTAGGGCTTCATTTACAGAATATGTTTACCAGGCACTGCTTTTGCTTTCTGTGTCTTCAATTAAACCTATGTTTGGTTGATGAGATTGGCAATGATTTTGCTTCTGACCTCCTCCTGTATTTGCTGTTCGGTGACTCTGCTTTTCCTCTGCCTTTGTGAGTGTTTAAGAAGAGCAGAGTAACTAACAGGATAAGGCTCAGAGTATATGGATGAGAAAATCTCGGCCAAAAGACCCTTCTGTCCTAAATTGATGGGTCCATTGCTACAATGAAGTGGCAAGATTAGGTGACTGGCAGTAAGTAAACGCTGAGGGTATTGGAGCATAAACTGTACGGTTTCTATCTTCTGTTAGCTGGGTAATCTCCAGCAGGGAATGCCAAGCCTCACAGGGCATTAGTTTTCCCTTATTGCACTCCAGTACTACAAAGTATCCTACATTTGCTGAGCTTTCCCACTTCAGGTAATTAGCTCCTGCTGCAAGGAATTCCAGGCCAGGCAGGGAGTTGTTTCACTGGCTATCAAATCGCTGTTTCTGCTAGAGAAAAGAAGGCTGCTAAATGCTAGACCTTATGCCTCTTAGCTGTTATTTCTCAGATCCCTCCAGTGTACTAACTTGGTTCTCTCAGGATAGTTTGCCTGGCAAGGGCTTTTAGTTCCAGGCAGTGAAGCACAGAATGATGCTTTTACATTTGCTGTCTTGGACAGCACACAGGACAGCCAGGTTATATCTGTGTTACTGGTAGGTATGTGCTCCAGAATCCACTTGAGGACAAGGCTGAGGCTCATCCCCCACCTCTTTCTTGCCCTGCTTCCACAGGGAATTGGAAGTGCGAATCAGAAAGAAGCTGCAGGGTGCTGCAGTAGTTCTCACTGTCCTTTTCCAAGATTAGAACATATCTGCTGGGTATGACATGATGCATTACCTGTCTTAGAATATAAGTAAATACAGGTGCAGACAGAAAGGACTGGAAAGCACTTCTGCCGTACTGTGCTTTTGAAAACCTAAGACACATGCACATAGAACACAGAACCAGAGATGACATCTCACATGAAACTTCAGCATGTGCTGAACTTACATTGACTGAGAGTTTGTCGGCATATTAGATGTACACCACCAACTAGAAAAACAGAGTGAACTGATTTAAGACAGATATTCACTTAAAAGACATAGAAATATTAATCTTTTAAGTAAATTAAAATTTGAATAAGTCAGAAACTTTATTCTGATTCCTTATAAGACAGCCCTACCTTACAAGCAAGAAAAGATAAATGAGGTCAGGATTCTTCACTTTCAATACTCGGTAACTTCTACTTAGCCATTTTACAAAAATATATTTTAGGATGACAAACCAAGGTGTGTGATAGTGGAAGAATCATTAATGTCATTCTTACCCTCTTATGTATACACACACATCTGAACACGTAACTGGTTTATTGTGTTGGAATTGTATTTCCTATTTGGTCTGTAAATAAAACTGTCAACAATTTTAACAACTATTTTTCCCCACAGCTGTAACATAAACAGATTATCTCAGATCTGAGAAATATGAATGCACTGTTCTGATGGCTGTAATTTGTACATTAACTACGCTTTTGCACAACTGCTGAAAAAGGGACTCCTTGTATCACATCCAAATGTTGATACATATATATGTATATATTAATAATTCTCTTGGTCTTGACTCTTGTCTCCATTTTACTGTATGCTGACTTATCAGTGCAGGGTTGGGTGGCAATTTTGGAATCGTATTGTCTCAATCTAAAGTGACTCTTAGTTATGTTATTTGAATTCCTGGTATTAAAAGCTATGACTGTAATCTCAGTCAGTGTAAGAACTAGAAGTAATTCCCATCAATGAAATACTGGAAAGCAAAATTTTACATACTATTGGAACATAAGCAGATTTCTCTTGGAAGTTTGTTTTAAAATTCAGAGACTAACTCCAGTACAAGTAGAAAGGTCTTGTAATTAAGCTATGACAGATACATCAGATAGAAAAAGCTCACGGGGAATCTATACAAATAACAGATGAAATTCTGGCCCAAACCTATGGGGGAAATAAAAAGTACAAAATTTTCACTAAATTAAGCCACAATTTCAAAATTCCATTCTCCCAAAGCAAATGGAACTCTTCCAGGATATTATGAACTATGAAATGCTTAAGTCTCTTTTCCTGTGCATATATAAAAATACACATTATCTATTTCTATCTAAATATATTCTATTAATCTCTCTACTACCAGGTGTCTGTGCACAGACTACAGAACTTTGTTCTGGAAACAACAGATGTGGATGAATTTTAATCCATTTGTTGATTCTTAGTTGAAGATTTGTAGGACCACAGATTGAAATTTTCATGTTTTTGTTAGTACGAAATAAGCCAACAAGGGATGTATCCATAGACTAGAAGAAAATATCAAGATCTTCTCGCATGCACAAAAGTTGTTAAGCCATTTACTGTAATCCAGCAGTTTTGCTTCTCTAGGATCAACTGTCCCATGGCATCTTCTTCCACATTATCCAATGCGATTCTATCAAAATACAGCTCTGTGTCTGAGATGTGCCCTCCACATTCTAGTTCATTCAACAGATACACAGTTGAGCTTTCTAAAATCAAAAGGGCAACTCTGAGAAGTGTGGAGCACCAGTGCTGGTCCCGGTAGTGACAACAGATGCTGATGTAAAACCTCTGTAACATAATGGATTCTGTGGTTTCTGTGACATTTCTGCCTTTTCATCTTCCTGTCTGTAGGTTTTGGGATCTTCTTCTTGAAGGAGGAACAGCAGGTGATTCTCAGAGCCTACTAAATAAGGTCAGTTGAAATTCCAGTGCTCAGTGTCTGCAATTGCTGAGAGCATTCATTTCACACAATCCTGAATGCAATGTTCAGTTTAGGTGCAGTAATTAAGTTTTATAATTCAGTACTGCCATCTCACAGTGATGAAAGATGAGCAAGGCAGTCCTTTCTCAAAATAATGACTGTTTAATGTTTACGTATCTTTTGTATACTTATTTGTAAAATTATTTTTATGTGCCCTTTGGGGATTTATTGACATTTTTATGATTACTTCGATTGGTGTTTTCCAGATTTTTCTCCACATTTACAGTGATTAGAAAATTGGAAGACAAATCATAGAATCATAGAATGGCCTGGGTTGAGAAGAACCACAATGATCATCTAGTTTCAATGACCCTGCTATGTGCAGGGTTGCCAACCACCAGACCAGGCTGCCCAGAGCCACATCCAGCCTGGCTAAATGTTGAGATTCTGTTAAAATTAATGATCCCAGAAAATTAACTTTAAAGAAAAGCTTAAAATCTTAATCCAAGAGAAGCATGAGAGCTGACAGAAGTGAAAGTTTTGTATGTGAAGAAAATACATTTTCATTTATTAACATACTCGGTGCAGTATTGTATACTCATCATCAGCATTCAAACCTCTTTTGGTTACATGTTTTGTAGGCACTAAGTGCACCAATAAATTCCTGCTTTTAATTTAACAGTTTCTCTAATCTATAAGAATACAATTAATCATCATTATCGATATTCTAAATTCTCAAATCTGTGAAAATCAGGAAAAATCTTTATAGTTAGGAGGTCAACTTTAGGAACAGACAGGAGTAAAAGAAAGCTTTTGCATTCTTTCTTTGTGCTAGTGACAAGGAAAAAGCTGATGACAAGTACAGCTGAAGTAACCACTTCACCAAGATACAACCAAAATATTCAGTAAGCACATTTATATGTATACACACACACACATTTTTCTTGCAGTGTTTTTCTAGTGACTGACTAATGAAGACAAATGGCATTGGAAATTTTTTGATGTGTGATGAAGTTACTTTGAAAGTGGCCTTAGGAAAAAAAAAAAATCTCAACAAGGACTGATGCATAAATCACAACTACACATGCAAGTAGACTGATTACACCTGGCACAACTGAATGACAAATTACACGGAAAAGGTCTTTTAAAACTTGCAACTACAGGTCTGCCCCCAGGCTAGCCTGAGAGTCCTTTCATTTCAGCACACCATCACTCTGCTACTAACTGCCATTCATTTGGAAGATAATGTAAAATTACAATTAAATGCTCATTTAGATGTGCAATCACTCATTTTTACACGTGCAGTATGGAAACCATTTTTCATTAGTGCTTTGTGCTTTCCTGAACTGTATCTAGTAAAAAGAGTAAATGTGATTGTACAACTCTCAAATCTTTATACTTCAGGAGTACAAAAAAGTACGTTAAAAAAATAATTAAAAAAAACTATTAGTTTACCAAATAGAGATTTTTGTTGTTGTTTTTCATTTAGATTTGAATTTTGCTCATACATGAGTAAAAGCTGCGATATTTCTATTTTGCTATATATAATCCTTGACTAAGGATAAAATATATAATCCTTAACTAAGGATTATGTATTGGTTGTTCAAGTTATTTGTATCACATATTTGAGAGATCACTGGCCTATCAACACATAATGCAAGAACATAAATAACATCAAATGAAGCAGAAATTTCTGCAAGAATGAAACCAGCACCAGAGAAACTGGTAGGCAGCTGATAAAGTGGACAAAGCGACTTATGTTTCCACTTACCACAGTCAGAAGCAGGGTTCTCTCTAAGCGAAGTACATGGTGGCTTAAGCCAGCAGGTTGCTGGGCTCTGTGAAATGGCTGTGGTCCAGTGCTCCCTCTGCCTGCGCCAGAATGCTGAAAAGCTGGCCTCACTGCTACTGCTGGCATTGCCAAGTCAGGGTGGCAGCGTGCAAGGTGATAACTATTCCTGCTGGGATGATCAGTGCCTCAAAAAAACAGCCATTACCAGCACTAATATTTCCATCTTCCCAGCAGTACCAGACACAACAAGCTGGCAAATTATCTGGCACACTCAATTTCTCTCCTCTTCGTACCCCATTTCTGCCCCGTCCTCTTATCCTTCCTTTGTGTACTAACAGGAGCAGCAGCCCAGCCTTTGTGAAATACACCAGTATGGCTTCTACTGTTTAATCCATCCTCAGCATATCTAAACCTACAAAAATACTAGAATGACATGTGAAACTACATCACTGTACATAATGTCATTTTGATATGTAAACCACAAGAAAAGCTGTGTTGATCATATGGAAGCATTCTGCAGCACCTGACCCCATCTCTGGAGGTGTTCAACGTCAGGTTGGATGGGGCCCTGGGCAGCCTGGTCTAGTGTTAAATGAAGAGGTTGGTGGCCCTGCCTGTGGTGGGGGGTTGGAGATTCATGATCCTTGAGGTCCCTTCCAACCCTGGCCATTCTGTGATTCTGTGACACCGTTCTTTCAAAACTGCAAAAGCCCTGTGGGGGGGGAGGGGGGGGAAAGCAGCTTTGTCTTGGCTGCCCCACTGACTTTTCTGTCAGGAACTGTTCTGCAGTAGCAGCAGACATGTAACATTTATGCGCACTTACATATTAATAATTAATAAATAGCACTGGTTTCGCTAAAGCATAAGGTTGATCTGGATAGGGAAGTAACTGTTTTACATTATAATCCTCAGAGAACAGATGACATGGGCCAGAAGAAACATGATACGATATAAAGTAATGATACACTTGGGAGAGATGACTCCAAACCATACTTCAAATGACAGGAAGCAGGTTAGCAGGTTTGAAGAGGTACTATACCTATTCAAGAACGTGAAGGTGCACTGTGTATCAGGAATCTAAGTGGAAAGTGTTGTGTTAGGGAAAAAAATGCTACGGGAACATGAGACCTGTATCTATTAGCCTCCATTTCAGGGACAGTATTGTACTTTGCTCATCTGACTTGAGGCAAACAATTCAGAGGTGGCAGTGAAGAAAAAGGCAGTGAAGAAAAAAGTAGTAGTAGCCAAAAGTATGGTTGGTGGAGCAAAAAAAAAAGTCTTTATAGGTGAAAATTAGTATCGCAAATCCTAACGTTAGTAATAAAATTCCTTATCGAGGTATTTGCTGTTTATGTAATCAAGCTGTATGATTTTGCATACCTGTTTTGAACCTCTGGAGTCAGAGGAAGTGTTAGGAAATTTATGCACTAAAATAATTAGAAGATTTAAGAAGTTAAGGATTTTTTCATTAATGTTGTGAATTTAAATAAATGAGGTGACAACCTGGAATCTATGAAACTAACATCAGCAAATTCTGATCTGCCTCCTCGGGAGTTAGCAGAGCCGATGCTATGCTGATGCCATGCTGTAAGGGCAACACGTTCGAACTCCAAAGCAGGACGCGGCCACGTGTGAGCAGCTGGCGCCCGTTCGCTGGTGTCACACACGGTGCGGTTGGGCTGCTTTTCAGTTTCCAGTGCGTGCTCTCTCGGGCCTGCGTGTTTTCTTCTTTATTGAGGTGGCTGCACCTGGGGAGGCCTTAGGACTGTGTACGAAAGTCACTCTCTTTCCCCTTATTTCTGCGGTAAGGCCCCAAGGCAACAGGGCTGCGCTGTTGAGGACGGGTATCTCGGGGCGCAGTCCCGCCGGGAGCGGCGCGGGCAGGCGGGCGCTCAGTGACCGTTCAACGGCTGCGGCGAGGGCCCGGCTGGGGCGGGCGGGGCTCGGGCGGCCGAGGAGGCGGTTGAAGGTGGTGGGCAGCGGGATCCTGATGGCCCACAGGGGGCCGGGGGGAGGTGGTGAGCGGCGGGAACGGGTGGGAGCCGGGGAGCCGGGTTGTGGGCTGTGCGAGGAGAAAGCCTGGGCTGCGGCAGGTGCCCTGGAGTAACGCTCCCTCATGGAGGCGGTGCTGCCAAGGCCAGCCTTGCTCTGCTTTTCTTGGTATTGCAAGGATAGAATAGTGTGAGAATGCAAAAGGTTAGGCTGGGTGACTTGTGGAGATCTTGTGTAGCTTCATCCTTGTGCCTGCTGGACTTAAAAAAGACAAAGTTGAGCTATCTTAGCACCAGCACTGATCTCGCCCCTTTCCAGATTGCCCTCTCTTAGTTTCCTTATTTGTGACTGTGTGGTTCTGTGGGCACCCTTGGAAATTTGGGGGCAAGGAAGAGAATGGGATGTTTGTCATTGCTACACGTGATCTTGTCTTGCTCTACAGGAGAATGCTTTCTAAAAATGGTTGCTTCATTCTAGAATCTACCAGCACGCATGCCATTTATCCTCAGGATACACGGGGAAACTGGGGTTTTCTTTTTCCACCTTCTGATGCAGCAGATATCAAAGAAAAGGGGAAATGGTTTTAAGTTGAGGGAGGGGTTGGATGTCAGGGGGAAGTTCTTTACAGTGAGAGTGGTGAGGTGCTGGAACAGGCTGCCCAGAGAGGTTGTGGATGCCCCGTCCCTGGAGGTGTTCAAGGCCAGATTGGATGGTGCCCTGGGCAGCTGGAGCTGGTATTAAATGTGGAAGTTGGTGGCCCTGCCTGTGGCAGGGGGTTGGAGATTCATGATCTTTGCAGTCCCTTCCAACCCTGACCATTCTGTGATTCTGTGATATCAGTCATGCATTGCTTTGTGTGCATATTTAGTATCTAGTATATAGCCTTAAGTAAGCATTCTTAATTTGGATAAAATGAAATTTAATCTTCCAAGTCAGCAGTCTCAGTTCATTCTACAGGAGTTTTCATTGCTGTTTTTGTCTACAGCTTCTCAGCCTTATCTTTTCTTGAGTTGAGAAGGTTGTAACGCAGGGGAATTCTTAGTTTCGTTAATATCTGTAGTTTCAACCCATGGACTTGATAGTTTCCTGTGAATTTATTTGCTTATTTATCCTGCTGCTTTTTTTTTTTTTTTAAAGCGTGGCACTTCAAAATGCTGAAGGGAGCTCAGCAGTTCGTTGGCAAATCCCTCCAACCAGCGCTACCTGCGTCCCATTTGCCTTCTAAACAAGGTAAGTAGCTTGCTAAGACGAAACGTCAGTTTCTTTTAAGGAGATAGGAAGGGTATGTAAGGTTTATTAGAGTTTCAAAGTTAATTTATTCAAACTACAGAGATGTATAGCTGTGCATTGGTCTTTCTATATCATCTCTGCGATGAAATCTTAATTTAAAGTACATCAGGTTTTCTGGTTTTGTATCTGTAAATCTGGCAAACTGTAGGAAACCAGATCAGGCCTTAAATTTGGACTCTTGGGTTAGTTGACTATTTCTGTTGAAAACATTAAAAGCATGTAATTTAACAAACAGGTTATTGTTCAATTTTACTGTATTGTTATCAAGCCTTCATAGAAGTTAGTGGAAAAAACAAAAAAAAATTCGCCAAATGCAATATTTATATCAGGTGTATGTATTATTTGTTTGTTGGTTTGTTTTTTAAACCTGTTTATGCATTCTGGGTATTACATTACTGAAGCTATTAATAAGTTGGAAATCTGTAGTGGCTGGAGAAACAATGCCAGCATCATCAATGCAGAAAGAAACTGAGTAATTTATCATATTGTGTTAAAATTCATGGTAGAAGTGGAAAATTGGTCCTGTGGTGAGTTAGAGCTTTTAATGTGTGAATAAATGAATTCCTGTATAATCTCTTTGTAGTTGAATTTAAGTAATGCCCTGAAGGCAAGTATCACAAAATAAAATTGCAGGTTACATTTACAGTACTTTTATTGTAATGTTTTCTCTTATCTTTGCCAGCATCAGAAGTTGCTTTCAACTTTCAGACTGAATTACCTAGCAATGCTCAAGTATGTTTGCAGAGTAAGGTTGACTGGGTGAGTACTGAGTAAATACTGAATGACAAAGCTGATGAAGGTGCGTGTTACAGCATGCCATGAAATAAAGTTGGGTGGAACCTTTGTGTTTCTCAGTGAAAAGTGGTATTTCTAGCTAACGCTGTCCTTAAATCTGGGTGTTTGACACTAGAAGTGTCAAAAAGAAGTGTGAGATTCCAACCAGATGTATAATAATGGAGGTATTTTGTTAGCAGTGCTTCCGCTTGCAGAGAGGAAGAAAATCAAACTACGATAGGTTCCACACTGTTCTCAAGTCAATTTTTGAGCAGCTAGGTAGCAGTGAACAACCTGATTTAAATGATTAATTAACTGTTTTAAAGAATTAAAAATTAACTAATTAAAAAAATTAGTTGAGATATGTAGCCTGTGGAAAGTGTTCAGGTTTTCATGAGGTAGTACTGAAGCTTGAGTTTTCTCTACAGCTGCTACTGGCAAAAAATCCTAGCTGTGAAATTACGTTTTCCTTTGTGACAGGCAAAATGATGTTCAGGGAGTGTAAGTGCCTGAGAATCCAGATAGAGCTTCTCCTGGATTTTGCACTGTGAATAATTTAAAGCCAAGTATTGCTTTTATTCCTTCATGATATACAAAGCAGTTTTGAAAGAAAAGATAGGGAGAGGGCTGAGTTCACTACATCATCTAATATGGAAGGAAAGGCTTGACCAGGCTCTGACAGTTCTAACTTGCAACTTAAGTGTAATGTGAAAATGAACTTTAGAGTTTTGAAAGTACATGCAGTGATGTAGGGCTGTTCTTTATAGATTAATTCCATTCTCTTAGATGCATTTCACATGCGAGCATGTAAAAGACTGTTTTTGCATGTGGTGATTCTCCACTATTTAGGTCTTGAATTGAAAACCACACATACCATAAATTGTGATATTAGAAAGCGGTTGGCAGAGTGCAGTGATGCCAGTGGTGTAGGAAGAAATGTTGTGGTGACAAGGTCTCACACACCACTATAAATTGCTGTGGCTTTTGGGGGTTTCTTTTATCTTGGGTTTTAAAAAGAAGTGCATTCCAAAACATCCAGTCCTTCCTGTTTCCTCAGTTCTTGCCTGCCTTCCCCATCTGCCTCAAAATGAGATTAAAATTCCTTGGCCAATACTGTGATGACAGTCTCACACATTACTATAAATTGCTGTGGCCTTGAGAGTGTTTTAATACACCTTCCTTTGCTGTACTTTGAAGGTGCTTCTTAATAGCTCAGATTTGCCACGACTGCTCAGAAATCAGAAAGTGGCAGTTAGAATTAGCAGCATGACTCGCTGGTAACTTAATCCTTCTAAATCCCTAGATCTTTCAGATTTTTTTCCCTGTGGAAAAGGTAACTGGTCAACCACAGAAAGTGGAAGTATGAGCAGGGTAATGCTAAAATATTTTACCATTTCATAATTCTTATCTCTGACTGCAATGTGCTTAGCGCCCCCTGAAAACTAGTAGTGCAGTTAAAATACTGAGTGTTGGCTGCTATCTTTTTCAAAAAAAATAAACAGCTCCTGCTTTTTACAAACGTAGGTATTTGAGAAAAAATGAAAGACTTTTTTTTTTTTTGGAGGGGGTTGGGAGATCTGTTTTAAGATGAACAATCAGTGCAGAGAAGTTTAAGACGTAGTGATGTACGTATTGGTTTTTGTGATTTCTTTTATCTTGGGTTTTGAAAAGAAGTGCTTTGCAAAACTTCCAGTCCTTCCTAGTTTCTCAGTTCCTTGGCCAAACCCCTGTGTAACTTTTCAGGAACCAAAACAAATTTCGGAGGGGAAACTGTTTCCATACTTTCCCAAATACTGATTTCAAGATGGTGTGGGGTTTTTTTTTGTTGTTTTTTTTTTTGTTGTTGTTGTTGTTGTTGTTTTTAGCCAGATGGAACTCAGTGTTGTACTGTAAATCTTGGTCTTACTGCTTATGAAATATTTCATAGAATCATAGAATTGCACAGGTTGGGAAAGACCTTAAAGATCATCAAATCTAACTGCAACCAAAGTATACTACCCTAACAACTCTCCACTAAATCATTGTGTGGGAATCCAAATCTCTCATTCTGTGTGAAGGAAAGTCTTTCGTCCTCCTCTTATTATTCTCTGGATTCTGGCAGCGTTTAGGTTAGATAAGTGAGGAGGAGATATTTGTGTTGTTATTAAAAAACAGCAATAGCATTGTAAAATCCTATCTGAATGATTGCTGTTTCAAATGTGCGTATTCCTTCTAATATAAGTAATAAGTAATACCTGCACTGCTCTGTAAGTAGTTGAACTGTTCCCTTATTATATATAACCAGTAATAAGAAATGTTTTACACATTCAAGTGAAATCTCTTGGACTTTTTACTTGACCCCTATTCCTGTTAACAGTTTTGCTCCCTATTTTAGTTATCTGAAGTGACTGAAATGAAGATCTTAACTCAAAACACAGTGCCTCTTCAACCCAAACAGGAATTGGATGCAAAAAAAGGTAACAACGCATTGTAAGCAGATGTTTGTCAGATTTGTGTTTTCTGGGTAGAGGGCATATGAATTTTGAAGGGTTGTGGGCTACATATTGGTTGATTTTCTTTTATGATTAGTTGAGAGTTTTGTTTCCTTTCTATAACACAGTTTAAGAGCAGTGTGAAACATTATTGTTTTTCCCATAACATTCCATGTAAGTGGAAATGTTTGCCACAAGTGAGCTGGGAAACCTCCAGTGGTAGAGTAATGAGACTGAAGTTTGATTTGCCTTGTAGAAACATGCTACTTCTGTGTGAGTTACAAAGAGGCTGTCTTCCAGGGTTCCGAGACCAACTACTGGTATTTCCTTGTTGAACAAATTACAGGGAGTCTGTAGCATAAAATTGGGCTCACTTTTTGCATTCTTTTGTACTGAAAAAAAAAAACAAACAAAACCCAAACCCTTAATAGCTTGGAACAGTCTACTGTATTTACTAAGTCAGTGTGACAGAAATAAAATGAGGTGCTATGCAATTTACTACCAACATACAAGATCAGGCTTAAGTTAGTATTGCTTTTAATACTGCCTTTTATATAAAAGCAGATTTTTTTGTCTAAAATCATTGAATTACCAAGATGGGGGAAAAGACCTCCAAAATCATCTAGTCCAGCCATCCACCTAACACCAGTATTTCCCCATGTCCCTTACTACGTTTATGTCCCTCTTTAACAAGAAGACACATCAGTTCTCTGTATTCTCAACTTGTGAGCATTAAGCATCAATATTGAGCTTAATTATGTGTATTTACAGAAAGGATCAAATACAGCAGAGATTTCCTCTTGGAGCTTTCAAGCGTTTCGCTCTCTCAGAAGAAGCCAGAGTTTCTGCCTGATCATCCAATTGTACTTGAAAAACCAGTAAGTGTATTCTTTATTTCAAGGGAAGCTTTAAAAAAACAAGCATAGAGGTTTATAATAGCCATTTGATAAGAAACATTTTTCTTCAGACTAGCCTGCTATGTCAATGAAAGCTTTCCAAATGTAGAGTCTACATGAAATCATAGTGCAGTGTAATTTTGGATTTTTATCTTAATTCCTGCTTTGCCTTTTCAAAATCAAAGAGAATAGTCTTGAAGGTTTGGACAAGTTCTGATTTCAGAGTTTGTGCATCAGTGTCCACTATAAAAATTGTATTAATGAACTTACTGTAGTTTGTGTTATCATTATTTCTCATCCATGCATCTGCAGAATGCATATTCTGTACTTTTTGATATAAATATATGATAAATATGAAAGATATCCAATGGTGCCACTGTAACCTTGGAGAAGAAATAATCCTCAAATACCTGGTACACCAAGAATAAACAACTATGGTTTGCATTCTGCCCATGTGTGGGGAAACATTCATGTTATGAAACCAGCCTGCATCTTACCACTATTGGTGTCGTTGGGGTGCAGTTCTTCAGAGTTCTTACCAGAAGAGTGGCTGAGATAATGTTCATCTGCACACATCTCAAGACTGTTCTGAACTTTTTAAAGCTCTGTTCTTTGGAAAAACAAAGTTATGTAGACAGCATCCCATCTTCTTGATTTGATGTTTTACATCTTCCTGTGATGTTTGTCTTCAAGTTTAAAGTAAGGTTTTGAGGTTTTAGTTGTTTGAAAGCCGGCTTTCAGATTAAAAGTTTCAGCTCTTGAATTTCAAGATATTTTTTTTCCCCTTCTCTTTCAGTCCTTTGAGTTTCTAAGTGAAGTTGTATATTTTAGTTCGGTAGTCTGGGGGGAGGTGGGAATTGCATCTTATTAGTTAAATTATTCTTATTTTTCCCAGTAAGAAAAGAGTGTTACAGCTCTAGAGCCAGAGTGCAAAACTTTTATTTTTATTTTTAAGTGTTAATGCCTGGTTTAAAAAAGAAAAGAAAGTTAAAAATGCAACTGGAAAAATAGCCTTTTTCTGCACTGTCATAGCTGGATTAAGATAAATTTACCTATATCCTTTCAATAGTCCCTTGTGAATTTTTGATCTTGAGAAATTAATTTTTAGTATGACAGTTGCTTTCTTTTAAATAGCAGTCCTGGACAGCATCTTGTTTCTGGGGCAAGTTATTAGAGGGTGACAAGGAAAGAGGTTTTATATGTTTGCATGAATACTTAAGTAGAAAACTCAGAGATCTTTAGAAGGCAAACTAAAGAATAAAGTACCGAAAAAGGTTTTTGTCCTCGTTCTTCTGTAAGTTTTATTGTGGTGTGTTGAGGCATAAAATTCTCAAACTACCTTATTCGTATTAAGGGCAATGGAAATTTGGCTATTAAAGATACTTAAATGCCAAAAAATCTCTTGCTTGAAAACATACAATATCAATTTTGATAATGCATGCTCTTACATAGTTATGTTCATGGATAAAGGAGGACCCGTGCAGAAATTGGAGGGGAAGACTGAGCGAGAAAATTGCTTATGGCATAGCTAGATTGCAAGGAATCAGCTTAGGGGGAAAATACAGTAGAAGCTGGTGTAAGCCAGGGTGGGGTGCATAAGGTTGTTTTGGGGTGGGCGAGTGTATGTGCAGGAAGGTGGCATAAGTGCATTGTTAGATTGTTTTAGACATAAGATTATGTTACTGTTGATAGTGTCTGCTTTTAAAATCTTTGTTCTCTGTTGGTAGAAAAGGTTTATAAGCAGACCTATGGAAACTTAGTTTTCTTTCACTGAAGTAACTTGAGGGTTTGTCTTGCAGGAAAACAGCAACCCTTTTGTTGACATATACAAGAAGTGACAGGTAGCTTGGAAGATGAGAAATCCATCAGTGAAGGAGCTACATGTAATGTAGACCTTCAAGATTTTTAAAGGTACTTGGGTGCCTACACGTGAACACAGGAGCTTACAAAGTCTGTACAAATACCTGTTTCTATTTGTAATTTCCAGAATGCTTCAGAAGGCAAAATACTTCGTAGCACCTGAGATGGTAGTACAATTGCAGTGAAAATAAATCATTTTACAGTTTGGTGTGACTTCTTGTTGTTTTCTTTGAATAGGCTGCATTACATAGCATTACTGTTTGACTATAAACTTTAAAGCAGTACTTGACTGAGGCCTCGTTTGCTCCTTTCTTACCAGTAATAAAAGAATAACAAACACCATGAAATCTCAAATGTGTCAGGATATGTGCTCCTAAAGGTTTGTTTTTTTCCTCTCTTCTCTTGCAGTCTTCCTGTTCACAAAATGTGAATAATTGCATTTCCCAAAGCTGTTTGTAAATAACTGTCCAGTGTTCTTCACTTTTCTAACTGGAAACAATGGGCAACATTAAGAAACAGTACAGCTTTTCATTACTTGTCTTACCTGGTAAAGTGTATGCCAATACATAGTGGATGCTGTAATTTATTTTGGTTCAGCTAGAACAGTATTTAGAAGAGAAAGCATTAAGTGTGAGTATTCATCTACAACAACTTTCAGTTGACAAGGATTAGTAATAGTTATTCTGTATGAATGTAATCATCTTCAAAACCTGAGTTCAGACCTCAAATAACATGCTGTGTGTGGTGAAGGCAAGTTTTCAGCCTTTCAGTGGCAAAAGGTAGCAGGAGCTAAACGAGATCATGTTGAATATTAATTAGTGCAGAAAAATGTCAAGTTGACTTTCACAGATATTGTTTTTTTTCCTGCAACTGTGCTAATAAACATATTATTTGAATTCCTTTTTATTATTTTTATGTTTAGCAGTGGTTGGTCAGTTAAAATTAGCTTGCAAGTATATTCTATTCGTATACTGTATGCAAGTCTGATGGTTTCACATCAGCAGGTACCTAAACTCTAATACGCCCCTTTCTCACTGTCCTTCCTCAAAAGAAGAAGAGGAGTAAATACTGTGAGATTGGGATGGGTGGAGATAAGGACAGGAGACATCACTCTCAAATTACTGCTGTGGGCAAAGCAAGCAGTGCAGGGAGATTAATTTAATTTATTACCTATTACTAACAGACTAGAGCAGTGAGAAACAAAAGCAGGCACATGTTCTCCCCTGTCCACTCTTTTTTTACCTTCATCTGAGCAGTGAAGGGGAATGGGAGCTGCAGTCAGTCCATAATGCTTTGTCTCTGCTGTTCCTTCGTTGTTGCTCTCTGCCCCTGCTCCAGTGTGGCATTCCTCTCACAGATTGTCTTTCCTGAATGAATCCTTCTTGGGTGGTTTCCCAAAGGCTGCAGCTCTCCAAGTACCACTCCAATATGGCTCTGTACCATGGGGCCCATCGTTAAGGAGCAGACTGTTCCAGCACAAAGACCCACTGGCAGCAGCTCCCTCAGACCTCCTGTTCTACCATGGCTCTGCTGCACAGGCTGCAGCTCTGGCTCTGGAGCCTGCTCTTGCAGGGGCTCTCTGTGGGCTGCATGTGGAAATCTGCTGTGTGCGGTACACCATGGGCAAGCTTCTCCTGGGCTTCAAGAAACTTCTGCTCAGCTCTGGAGCACCTCCTGCCCTCCTTCTGCCCTGATGACGATGGCTGCAGACCTACTTTTCTCACACTTCTCAATTCTCTTTCCCAGCTACTGTTGTGCAGCAGTTTTTCCCAAGCATTGCTCATGGCTCAGCTCTGGCCAGCAGTAGATCCCTTTCAGAGCCACCTAGTGCTGGCTCTTATCTGACATGGGGTAGCTGCTGGGCTCTGCTCACAGAAGCCAACTGTGCTACTAAAATCTTGCCACATAAACCTCATACAGTAACTAATGTTGAGGAGAAAAATCTTTTTTGAGTAATGTTTCTTTTTCATCTGAGAGTCTTAGAGTTTGGTTGATCTTTTTCCCCATTATGCGTCAGAGGCAATTTCATTGTATAGCTCTCTTAAAACTCTTAAACGATACACAAGTTTTTATGATTCATGCAAGTGTTTGTTTACTAGCAAACAAGCGGAGAATTTTTATTAGGAGGATGTGTGGCATCTACTAGAATGAGTTTCTCTGCTCCAGCACCTCTAAGCAGATAATTTCTTATAACTGGAAAAACATAATAAACCTGATTATACAGTGTCAGTTTTCAGTACCAGTTTAGCCTCTAGCAGTGTCATGGTCACTTTATTTTTTTTATTGCTAGATTAGTAATGAAAAGAAAATATACATACACCAGATGGACGTTGTGACAAAGTAAAAAAAGTCAACTAGATCTAAGGGAAAATGAGTGGTTTGTCTTTTACTTTGCTAAAGGCAGGAGAGATTTAAACTGTTCACTGATTTCTCATCTCAAGAGTGTAATGTGGATGTTAGGATGCCCTTTAAGTAGATATGTAGCTGGATCACAGATTTCTGTGTTTATAATAGTATCTGTGCCATTAAAGGAGGATATGACCTGGTTTTATTTTTTTCTTAAGTAGTTAAGATGCCTTGATCCCCAGCAAGTGCCTATATGTGACAGTTTTAAGAATGTCAGGTTTAGTCTTAGCCATAGCTTCTGGATTACAGAACCATACTGCAGTGAAGATTGCTTGCTTTTTATACCTGGTAATATTTTAGCTGAGGTGAAATAATGGAGAAACACTACAAGGAAGAGGATATTCTATTGAATGTGACTTTCAAGTTATTTTTTGGCAACTGTTTATAACCTGGAACTGCTCCATGAGTGAAGATAGTGATATTTTAGTTTGCAGAGCTTGTCAACCTGCCATTGGAGGGTGAGGTTACACTAGTCACTTCCTTCCCTGGCGGATGACGTGTACGGCTCAGATGCCAAAGGGACAGCAGGAAGTCTCATTAGGGAGGAAAGTATTTGTGCTTCCAGGTTTATGGTTATTTATGCTCTAGCAGTGGTTTCTCTAATGACTTCTCAGTGAACAGCCAGTTTTAGGAGTTGCTCTGGTTTTTTAAATGTTCAAGACAGAGCTCAAAGCAAATGAGCTGTGGAACATTAAACCTGTGGATCCAAAGCGGTTTGGCCCGCAGATACACATTTTTTCTTGTGAGGGAGAAGAGAGGGCAGGGGCCATAGGGGCTCTTAAGAGAAAATGGTGCTGCCTTGTCTTTTCTTGGGCAAAAAATTTCCTGAATGATAGTATTAACGTGAACAAATTATTCATTTATTCTCCTAAACTATACATAGACATTTATGGAAATGTGTTTTCAACTTTATACCTGTTTCTTCGGTACAAGGAGAAAACAGCAGCATTAAGTAACAATTGTTTATTAATGCGAGACTAAAAGTATTCACAAATACTCAGTCACACCAATCAAGATGCATTTTTCTGTGACAGGACTAAATATACACAGTTAACAGTTGAGCTTAGTTTTGTCTTTTTTTCAGCTTTTACAATGCGTTATTTCACTAAACTGATCACAAGAAGGCAATGAATGTGATTTTCCTTATTTTAGAACAGAACAGATTACATCCATAGTATTGCAGTATCACGTGATAAACCTCTAACCCAGCACACCTGTACACTGTTAAATCAACGTTATTGTAGTGAAAAACATGACATAATTACTTGGAATCACAGCTTCTAGTTGTTATTGAGGACCCACCACGATGCTGAAAGAGAAAAGAGTTCATGTATTTACATATACAGTATTTCTATCACATAAACTTTCTAAATAGAATAGCTATAATGCATAAGTCACTGCTGGTGTAAAGAAATGGTCATTATATATGCAGCTATACAACAGCTGCACACTTTCAAGGACAGAACCACTCCAGGCAGGGGAAGAACACGTACAACACTACCTGATCATAAATGGTAGGAGGATGGCAATAACATGAAAATTTAGATCTCTTTTTGATAACATCTCTGTCTGAGGTGGATTAGCATAGAATTAAGCACCCAAATCCCAGAGAGCAAACCACATAAATTCTCACTGTGAGGGGCTGCCTGTTCTGCTGCATGTGACAGTGCTGTTGCTGAGCAGTGTCCCCTGGGTTCTTCTGCTGCCTTCAGTGACTTTCATTCCTAGTGACATTATTCAATCCTGATGCTGGTGTTTTGTTTTTATTTTTATGCAGGCTTAAGAGTGTTTTGCCTCACAGTGAGTTGTAAAATGTCATTTTCATAAAAAGGAAACGGCAATCACTGAATTATGCATAGAGCCAAAGTGAAACATATTTGTAGCTCTTTCCCCACAGCCCCTCCACACTGGCCTTTGGAAACTGAAATCTTGCAGAGAATAACAGCAAGATTTATGGAGAGAGACAAGGAAGCAAGGAAGGATTGTGACTGTATCTTAGGTGCCAAATGCCCTTGTTGGAGAGGTGCTCAGAGACTGTGCATTTTGCACTGTACAGTTTGGGGATTAAATTCATTAACACAATTTGTTCCAGTGGCTGTGTCCATAAACCTATCAATTTCTGGCATTTATTTGAAAACAAGTTATTCCTGAAGAAGTATATTGAGAAGATGGTTAAGAATCCTGCTTCACTGTGAACTATTAAAGTCTAGTAGGCTCTGACACATCACTGGATTAATAAACTTTAACAACAAAAAATGTCAGTATAACGGTTAATTTCATGGATTATAGTGCCATAAACATTCAGTAGTTTTCAACGTTTTGTTTTCTTCACTGAGAGCTACTTTAATATCCTCAAATCCAGATTTTCACACAGAATCACAGAATTGTAGGGGTTGGAAGGGACCTCCAGAGATCATCGAGTCCAACCCCTCTGCCAAAGCAGGTTCCCTACACCAGGTCGCACAGGTAGGCATCCATTCCATCCAATCCATTTTGGATTTAGGCAAAGTGTAGGCATTTCATGCATGTGAACTGAGTGATACCTGGCACCGTGATGCAATGCCCTGAAGTAACTTGATCTGCTTGCAACAGGAGTGCATGTTGTTAATAGTCACTGTTCCTATTAACTGATAGTAAATGAATAACAGTACTCAAACACTGTGTCTTCCCGAGTCATTCTTAGCTGCGCACCTGCAGTCATTTGAACTAATCCACTGAGCAAAGGCTCAGGTTGTATGTAATGTTTGCAGCAGATTCAGATGGTGATTTAGAATCAGATCAGCTCTTACTTAATCCAGGTGTGCCAAAAGGTGTAGCTGCATCTGAGCTAATCAGTTTGTAGAGTAAGGTCTGTCCTGTACTAGTTGAATGGATTGGTTTCTTTCTTCCTGATTTTACAATGATTTCAATTTACTTTGTCTAAAATTCTCCTATAAAATACACCTGCAATATTTCAGCTATCACTTTTTACTTTATAAACATTCTCTGTGTTTCAAATAGAAATGCAATTTGTGTAGTTTATGCGTGTGGAACATTTCCCCTTAAAAAAAAAAAAAAAAAAGAACAAAAATCAGCTATCTAGTCTGATGTGCAAATTACAGATGCTGAATGGAGTGCTGTGAATGCGTGACTTCTGCTTGCCCAGCCCTGAGGAGCGCAGGCCGAGATGCGGCGTTTCCATGGCAACTGCAGGCCGCGCTTCCCTCTGCAGGCACCTGCATGCACTCTGCATCCAATTTCACACGCTTCTCTATTGAGGCATTTATAAACAATGTATGTTTCCATTTTGTTCTGTATTAATTGTACGTTCCCTAGCTGTGAATAAACCACTCTTGGAACGCTTCTGGCTACACCTAGCTCTTGGACACAAAGACCGTGTGAGAAAATGCTGCGTTGTTTCCTAAAGCCAAATTTATCTTAAATCCAGCAGTTTCCCAGTAAGACATAAGACTTGAAGGGATTCTTTGTTCATAAATGCAATCCCCTTGTATTGCAGGAATCCTGACTTACAACCAAGGGTTCGGCTCGTGAGGTCTGAAAACTCATCTTTTCAAAGGTGACCTCAGGTATAAGGCTAGGTAGTAACTTTATTTTACTTTCTTATTTTAAATTTAGGCTGTAGTCAGACATAAGGGGAATTAAGAGTCCTGCACTGTCTCTTTTAATGTTTCTCTGAAAAGGAAGGTGTATGGTTACTGGTTTGTAATAATAAATTGTAATCTTTGAACACATTGCTTTTTCCCCATGTTTTAACACAGCAGGAAGCATGGTACAGTAAAACTGGTTAGCAAATCTGAATTACTAGTAATTAATGCTTCCTTCAGTTAATGTAAATATGATTAAATTTAATTCATCAGGAGGCAGTTCTCTTTGCCTGAAGATCTTGAACAGAGTCTATTTTATGATTTGCAGACAGTATTGTATACTCCAGGTCATTTCTTAAGTAGCGTGTGCTATCGAAACATTTGTACCATATAACATAAAGCAGTGGGGTTTATTTTTGCTGATGCATTTTATGTTTGTTTGGTTTTTTTTGCTTAAAATAAAACCATTTGGAGTCCCTTCCTCCTCCATACAAAAGCAGAACTGACTAAAGGGTGGTATTATGCAGGGGACTCATATAAGGAACACACTGATACAGCAGAACTCTTCACATGCAACAAATAAAACTTTGCGAAAAAAATGGTGTTTACCAGGGACTAGCATTGTTGTAATGAGCTCTGGAGTTTCCAGGAAGTCCACATTACTTCTTTGGAATGTCTTGCTGTAATTCATTTGAAGGTGGCTAGATAATTGTAAAAAAAAAAAAAATAAAAATAAGAAGACAAGTATTAAGGGACTAAATATTTTTATGTGCATCAATTTTTTTGCAGTTCATGCCATAGGAGGGATTTTGTGTTTCTAAAGTTAGACAGTGATGATAATGGGAGAGGAGACCTCTGTGAATTTCTTGCATGCTATACTAAATGAGCTTTTTGTTCCCCTGTACAGTTAACTGTTACTCTGATGTTCTTCTCTTGATTGTGACCCAGTATACCAGTTCTTATTCCAAATGTGCTGACCTTTGTTACTGTTGTTGCTTACCCTTTCTAACAGTAAACATGCCTGCTTTGAAATGGGGCTTTGTTCAAAAGGGAAGATACTAACACTTCTCCATCTTCTGTCAGAATTGTTTCTGTCTACAGATTTAGGAACCTAGTGCTTGGGGTTTTTTAATACTAGTTACAGGAAACCTTTTTGTTTCCATTCTTTTTTTAGCCGTCTGTCTGCCACAGTCTAGAAATCAGCTGCTAGTCTGACCAAAAGAGACATTCTGGAAATCTATTTGATGAGATGCTGTGATGTGCATTTGGGAGACTTTGGCAGAGCTCCCTTGTGAATGCTGCTCAGGTGTGTTGCTGGGTGCTGCACCTCCTCTCTCCTTCCTTGGCTCCTGCAGTATCCTACAACAGCATCACTGAACTATGCTGAAGCTGTTGTTTCCTTATTCTTTTGTCTCTGATCAACTGCTACCTATCCAATGCTATACCCTTCTCTCTATTCTATTCAAACTGGCTGTGTTTTTCTGATGTTTTTATCTATAAGCTTCATTATATTTTAGTCTTTAGTAATTATATTGTTTTGAAGCAATGTGATATATTTAGCAAGAGATCATCGAGTCCAACCCTCTGTTAAAGAAGGTTCAATATAATAGGTCGCACAGGTAGGCATCCAGATGGGTCTTGAATATCTCCAGAGGAGGAGACTCCACAACGTCTCTAGGTAATGTGTTCCAGTGATCCATCACCCTTACCTTGAAGTTGTTCTTCTGCATGTTTGTATGGAACTTCCTACATTCAAGTTTTAGACATTACTTCCTGTCCTATCGTTATACATCACCAAGACAAGCCTGGCATCATCCATTTGCCTCCCATCTCCCTTTAGATAATTATAAATATTAATCAGATCCCCCCTCAGTCTTCTTTTCCCTAGGCTGAACAAACCCAGGTTACTCAGCCTTTCCTCATAAGGGAGATAAGGGGAGATCAATTAGCAGTATTTAATTTGTATTCAATTCTTGTACGCAATTGCTCACATAATTGCTCTCTAATGGTCAAACCTTTGTGTGTATATATGTATTAAAGCAACAACAAATCCAATAACAGAACAGCTTACCTATTCCAGATGTTGCTGTTCTCCCAGAACTCATAAATAATGAAGCGGGAATCATTTGGAAGCTTCTGTATGGAAACACTAAGAAATGTAGAACAGAAGTAATTCAATCAAACATGTCAAAACCATTTCACATATGCATCCTTTCCCAGGTTTTCTGAGTATGAACAAAATAAAAGGATTTTTTGAAACAAACAAACAGAAACCAACACACAGCCAAACAAATATGTGAATTTTGAGAATGATACAGCAAAAACTCATCTATAAGATTTTGAGGATTCTCATGGCTTTTTTTTTTTTTTAAATATTAATAACAGTTATGATGGTCTCATTTATGAAACTCATTTTTCATATTCCTCCAATGGTTAGAGTCTGAAGAAATGCAAATCAGTAATACAGAAAATCGGACAAATGTGCTCCAGAGAGAATCGACCGACACAGCACGTTGTGCACACAGAACAGCTGAAGGGATAGAATGACTTGTGCTGCTTCACTGAAGAGTCTCTTCATGCAAAGTCTGCCCTTGGCTGTGAGACGCAGACCAGATGCTTTGAGAGCACATAGCAACAGAGTATTAAGACAGATTGATGTCTGATGAAGATAAGTTTTGAAAATAATATCTCCTGATATTGCTTATTTGTTCTTAGGGCATTCAGCTAACATTTTATCATGGATAAAATGTGTCCCATAATATACTGATTGTGTAGACCGGGTTATCCTGTTTATTGTCCTGAGTGTATCAGGTTCATAGCACATGGGGAAATTACACATTGTTTTTTAGATATATGGCACAGAAAGCGTATGTATGTACTTCACTGAGTAGCCAAAATCTTTGAGCTTACTGGTGGTGTGCTTGAAAACTAATCTCAGATTATATTTCACACAGTAATAGCTAATGAATTCGTAGAACTTACTGGTGTATGCAAAAATACACTGTAAAATATAAAAACCAATCAAGAATTTTTTGGGGAAGGCAAAAAGTAAATCAATGGCATAAATAGCTCAACTTAAAAACAGCCGGTAGGTGGCATTGCAGATCTGCCAAATGCCTTTAAACTTGGGAAAGAAAGTTTTTGCTTCCTTTTCTAAGTTGCATTCTGAACTGGTGTAAGCTCTCTCTCATGCAAGTACGCAATCACTGAAGTTGGATGTTCTTTTTCAGAGGGACAGGGAGTGGCACTCTTTGTTCTTCCAGCTTAATTTTCTTGTTTTTATGAATATTGCTGGTAGAATCACTGTACTTGTGATGATCTCATAGCAATAAGGCTCACCGGTTAGGGATGTGGCAGGCAGACTTTGAAACCCTTGAATATATGAGAACCATATTGTGTACACATTATAAAAATATTTCATTGTGGTCTGTAATGTGTGTATAGCATAGCTTTTTCAAGTCTGTTAAATTCAATATAGCGATGAGTCATTTAAACTTATTCTTAACCCTGCTCTAATGTTTTATTTCATTTGAAAAAGAGCGAAGCAAGAATACACTATTGAAAATTTTGCTTTTCAGTTCTTTACATTCTTTATTAGGAATGAAAATTTAACAGTGACAAACTGAGGGAAAAGTTTTCAAAGCTTCCAAGCATAGAACTGGAAGACAAATTGATCAATTGCTCACTTCCCAGGTGAGCAAAAATGATGGATGGCAGATGAGTTTTCCAATAGATGTTGTCACTTTAGGAGCTTCTGGAAGCTGTGAAGTGGTGACCTAAAAGCCTTTAAAAATGGTACTGTATCTCTGGGATTATCTTTACGGTTTTAGCAGGAGTTGGGGGGCAGGAAGATTATGCACAGGAGTGTGAATGTGTTTGGTTTTTTTTGTTGTTTTTTTTTTTTTTTTTTTAAGACTCAGTGTTTATTTCATTCATGAGATTTTGTGATACTGCTGGAAGTTCACGCACATACTTTTGACATCTCTTTATGACTTCTGTTGTATTTGAGAAGTTCTGTATAAATACATGTGCATAATCACTCAGGAAAGAGGATGCTACTGATTCTCTCTTCATAAACTATCCATCTCTACTTAGAGACTGTTCAAGAAAATAGATTCCTTTATTCAGCCCACGGACAGTAATACTGTACTTACTGCAAACAGCCACTCTGAGCAGAAGCAGACTCCACATACTGCTTCAGAGCAAGCCTGAATTCCTCAATTTCTTCTTCTATCACAGACATTTGACGTTGAACGATCATTATGTGCTAATGCAAAAAAATAATAATAATAATAATTTGTATCTTCCTATGAATTTCTTGTACTTCAAACTAAATAAAGTCTATTATCATAAATCAGAATATGCAGTCATCAAAGATCTTCATAATCTGGTTGACCATGGGCCTGGGCACCCTGCTCTGGGTGTCCCTGTTTGATCAGAGGTTGGGCCAGATGGACCCAGGGAGCTGTGACACTATTTCCTTCTTACATGAGCTTTGTTTGAATGTATCCTTTGAAAACAATGTAGAAGTTAGTATTAAAGTTTTGTATTTTAAGTTCTATTCTGTTGTCTCTTTCACGATGTATTCTGCAGACTAAAAATTATTCTTTTTTTAAGAGAGACAAGTTGAGATTGTTGCATCAAAACCTAGCATTGAAAATCAAACACCAAAACATATTGTCTTGGGAAATACTTACAGATCTTGCATTTTCTTCCAAAACTTCTTCTTCAAATGGCTCAAGCTTCAAGTCCTTTCAGCAGTGTTTAAAAAAAAATTAAAAAAAAGAAGTGTGAGTAAACAGATATACCTTGATCTTACCATTTAAAAATTATTTTCATAATTGTATTCTCACATCTCCAGAAATTATAATTGAATGTCTTCTTTATTATCTGCAAACCAAATGTAAACACTGCTTGCAGAATCTTGTGTGTTTCAGTGTTTAAATTCAACCTAAGTTGTTCTGCTAAGTTTTATTTACAATACTGAGCAGGCAGTGCTTCACTTGTAATAAATCTGCTTGTTCACAATTGTTTGTTGGGCTTAAAGAAGAAGATGTCGTCTTAAATTGCGTGGACTACGGAGAGGAGAAGGGATGGTAATTTGAAGTAGACTTTCTGCATAAAGAAAGCTTTATGCAGAATAAACTTATCTAGGGGAGATTATGACAGATTGGATCAGAAATCTTTGCTGGAAATAAAAGGACAAGCAGAAGAAAAGAAATGCACACCTTCTTTTCCAGCCTGTCAATCAGCTTCTGAAGTCTGCTTATCTGGGTCATCCACTGGCTCTCTTCCTCAATCCAGCCTTTGGAAATCATAAATAATGAAGAAGAAAACATTACTGAATGCTGGAACATACCATATTCATCTATTTTGTAAAAATCATTAACTTATCTTGCAACTTATTTTGCTTCTCAAAAGAAGACCGTGCTGCAATCACTTCAGTGTTCATTTAGGTGTAAATAATGTAAAGCATAATTTTGTCCATCCGAATGTTTTACTTTCTTCTTAAGATACAGTAGAAATCCAATACAGAAAGAAAACTATGTTCTAAATTAACTCTGGTGTTTTGAAGTCGTGATGATAACAGAAGAGAGGAATGCTCTGCTCTGCAGGTGGAACCAGGTTATAAAGCTGAAGCTCTGCTTCTGCGTAAGTTATGCTGTCGCTTTTTCATTTTTATCTATAGGCTGTAAATATAAACTAAGAAATGCTGACTCAACTGACAGACCCAAAATAATATCCCAGTTTGGCCCATATTTATGTATTTATTTTTTATCCATTCTTAGGCTACATACTTATTTTCCCTACAGTTTGAGCTAGTACCTCCTATATTGAATTGAAAGTTGATTTGTGTCAGTAAAGGATCTGAATTAGTTAGCACACATAAATTAAAGTTTTGAGATGAAGATTTGTTTCTTCTCCACATATGGATATGTGTTTTATAGACATTTAAATTGTGAAATGCCATACCTGTGTTAAATTGAGGGTTACTGGGTGATAGGCTGTTGCTCCTTTGAAGCCTTCGAGCAGAGCGTTTTCCTGGCCATTGCACTGAGAGCACTTCTGGTTTTGTTGGACCTTGTCTGCACAGGAACACAGGACAGTTCATAAGGTAACACATATGAGGGAGAGTTCTGTTCTCTTTCTGTTTTCAGAAATGTCTTCATCTCCTTCATCTCTTTGTATCTGCCACTTTAAACTAAGAAAAAAATAAATTAAGAACGTCTATTGCTACTACTGAATTCTTTTCCAGATAATTTTGCTACAAATAATTACTTGTGTTTTTAATGAGTTTAATGACCACACTGCTTGTCATAAACAAGGAAAAAAAGGAGGGTTAAGATGGCATCAGCCTATCTTTCAGAGAGTGAAAGCTCAAGGTCTGTCAGTGACATGGTTCTGACCTAGCCTGAGGAGTCCTCCTTGCAGTGTCATCTTGTGGTACCATCTCTGCAGAACTGGGGTTATACAGCAGCTGAAACTAAGGGATAAAGTTCACATTGAGGAAAATGTAACTGTATTAAGGAAGTATTTTTTGGGTAGCACTTGCTGCCACATATGAACAAGATAAAATCTCTTAACACTAAAGCCAAATTATGGCAGTTCCCCAGTGTAAAGACTTAAATTAGCTTAGGATTGCCTTAGTGGGGTTATGCATCAGGCAGTTTTCCCCTGTGTTAATTCAAGCATAATTGAAGATGATTTTGCATTGGGACTGAGGCATCTAGAAACTAGCCACATTTTCTCCAAAATAGCTGTAGTTTAACTGCTCAGTTTGCCTGGCTTCCCTATTGCTACCTCAGAAAGCAAGGAAGATGATATTTGGCTCAACAGCTCACAGCTCCTTCTCATTTTCTTTGTCATGGCACACACTAGCTATCCAAGAGGATGTTTCTGAACAGTTGTAGTGGAAAAACTGGAGGAAGAACTGTAATGTCCTATTTGGCAGTTAACACAGAAGAGAAATCTGGCAGCAAAAAGGATATTTGTATTGCCCAATTTTACACATCCAAGGTAGTTGTTTGAGTTACAAGGACTCAGAAGGCTAGAGATGCTGTCCTAGAAGGTAAGTCAACTTGTGATTAATGCAGAGGATAGCTTAAAGCACCCAAATTAGCCTCCAGCTCTGAACTGGCCATTAGAGACTTCTTTCTCTCTCACCTAGAAAGATGTATGTGCAATTAGAGGGGTTTATATGCTGTGCCTGCTCTGTACACCTTTTAAAACCTGTGTGATTCCTGTGGTCAAGCTGTGGCACAAAATCCCAGCATGACACTCTCAGAACCAACAGGAAAGCAATTAAGAGAATGACAATATGAAAAAACAACACATTTTACAACATAAAGAAGTGTTGAGATCTTAGCCCATGGAACACAATGGCTTGTGTTTTGCTCTCCCTTTCATCTCTATAATAACATACTGAGGATAACAAGTCCATGAAGCCAAGCACCCTTTCAGAAATGTTGCAGCTTTTGATCCTACAGATTCTTATCTATGAGGAGATGCCATTAAATTCAGCTAAACCTGGATATTGATTACCCAGGTGATATAGAGCTCATAGACTTAGGAGTGAACCAGTACTATGGCCTCATGTTGCAGCACGAAGCTGTAACAAGTAAGAGCCTGGCTGTTTCTCTTCTTTTCTCTTCTTCATGTTGGGAATGTTGTGTGACCAGGAATAAAGATAAAAAAGCAATCATAAAGCCAGAAGAAGCAAACAAAGAAGCAGTCAGTGACCTTGGTTATTTCGGAGTTCTACACGTTGCATTGATCTTTCTGCATTTGATATTAAATAATCAATGGATTTTAAGAGGTCAAAGGAACAAAGATTAGGATGCAATAAAGTGCTCTCACACTTAGCCTGTTCTCACTCCTACATGCAGCCCGCCATACGATCAGAGTGCAAACCTCTTGTAGTCAATTTGAGGAAAACTATCAGTGAGTTCCTATGGAGAATGAAAAAAGGATTCTTATTTCTCCTGTTATTTCCTGCATCAGGGTGCTGGATGAAACACAAAATATCTGAGTGGTTTGTGGTGGCCCCCTTCCCATGCTGGCTACCAACCTTTCCTGCCGAGTCTGCTCCTCTGTGGTTTCCATGGCACACTCCAGGGAAGCCTGGAGGGACTGGAGCTGGTTCAGCGTTTCCTTCAGGAGAAAGCGAGTCACGAACTGCTCCAAATTAGAAGCTTCTTGATAGTCCTAAAATTACATTAAAAAGAAAATGCTAAGGATTTGCCTATTGTGTTAGAAACGAATTTCCAAGTATGAACACTCTTCCCACCCGAGATAAGAGAGGCCCAAGCATAAATTTCAACAACACAGTTTCTACTAAAAAAACCCCTCCTCCTCACATTTTTTATCTCCAGATGATTGCAATACTATATTACTTCCTACGTTTGGGTAAGCCAATATATACTTGACAACTACTGAAGCAAATTTAGAATTTTTATTCACATCCATTCTTGTGAAATGTAATTTATTTGGCCCCGTGGCCTGTCTGTGCCAGAGCCATTGGGCAGGCCAGGTGATGGGTGATGCTGCCAAACCGCTGATGGAGTTTTCCAGAGCAGCATCACACAACACCTGCCCTGCCCAAAGCTCTTCCCATCATCAGTTTGGCTCAAGGACTGCCAGCACCAGAAACAGTGAATTTTGAATACAGGTTTTGGTTCCCATTATTTGTTTAATTATTTTGGAAGCCCCTTTTCTTTCAGTTCATTAATGACTCCAGTTATGATCTTGCTCTATACCAGTGTCAGTTAAGCTTTGCTGAAAAAGTTTCATTAGATGCCGTCAAAGTATGCAAGAAATCAACTTTACATTTAAACATCTGTTCAAAACAGAAAAAGGTTTTTGAAGAATTCATGCAACTGCTCACTCCATCAGTCACCCCAGGAATCAGATTTCCATGGACAGAATCAACATTAACATTTCTAGTAGCCCAGTTGTGCACACAGGTAAATGCTGTGTGAGGGAAGAATTAATACAATATTGTAACCATATGCAATAAAGTAAACAACCCCTTCCTTTTCCATACAAACATGCAGAAGAGCTTCTTTAAAATAAGGGTGATGGATCACTGGAACAGGCTGCCCAGAGAGGTTGTGGAGTCTCCTTCTCTGGAGATATTCAAGATTCATCTAGACACCTACCTGTGTGGCCTATTGTATTGAACATTATTCAGCAGAGGGTTGGACTTGACGATCTCTTGAGGTCCCTTCTAACCCCTGCAATTCTGTGATTCTGATTCCTGGCTGTTCCCCCTAATAAGTGCAAGAGAGGGGCTAGGCCAGTCCCTTAGAGCCTCTGCTTACTTAGTAGAGCCCTCATCAAGAAAAGAGAAGTAAAATGGCCTGAATGACCATGTTATACAGTAGTCTGGTACCCACTTTCTGCCCCAAAGTTCTGGCTACAATTCCATCAGACACCAGAAAGGCATCATAGTATCCAAGGAGCACTGAATGAAAGATTTCTATGGTTACTCTACTTGACAGATGATGGTCTGTTAACATTAAAGAAAGATTGTCATTTGATGGTGTTGGGTCCTCCTCTAGCTGAAAACCTCTTTGAGTATTTGTGGCAATGTATGTGGGGCGTTTTTTAAGCTCTTCCCAATTTTAGAATTCTCTTTGAATTTACTTGATTTTTGCATTTTTATGTTTGCAATCAGAACACAAATAGGAGATGTTTTGAAATGTAAATGAGAAATAAAAGATTGCACAATAATAGCTTCAAAAGCACTTTGCTCTCTTTCACAATATATGCTATGAAGTTCTTGCTGAAAGACTTCTGCTACAGAAATCTTGAATGTCGAATCACCCATGAATTATCAGAATTACTTATATAGCCAGGAGCTTCACAACCATCTATATTTTTTCTCTCTTCGAATGAATCGGGTGTGAGGCACACTACAACCAAATAACTTCTTATTTATACATTTTTAAAAGAGGCATATGAGATTCTCAGTCTACCTTTTGAACAAATACCTAAGATTCATACCAGTCCCATAAACAACATTTTTTAGAAACCTTTCTGTGTAGTTCATCTTATTATGCAACACAATATCTGATTTTTTCTTTTAAATTTTCTGACCCCTTAATTGCAACTGATGTAAAACTTGGTTGCACCTGATGGAAATCATGTAAGTTCCAACAGTTTTGATTCTATGTGGCATGTAAGAACCTGTACAAATCTTTATAGTATGGACAGCTAAATAAAACCCCGTGGCTGAAATCCCTGGTTTGTTTCATTTCTCAACTGTCACCAGCGCACTTGGAAATAAATGAATAGAACATGACAGAAGTGACCATTTTTAATAAGTTTTTTAATCAAAGCAATATGACAAGAGGAGGAGAAGAATTAATCTGTCTGAAAGTTCTGCGTATCCAAAAATAATCTCATTGTAGTTTCCCACTCATAGTTATGGTAAATCTGATAGCAGCATGCTGAATTAGAACTTAAAATGTACGTCAATAATGTTTCATTTTGCAAACTGCCTGGGTGGGCCTGTGCTGTTGGGCGCAGTGTAAACATAAGCTATGTGATCCTTGCTGAAGCTAGCTCCTTTCTGACTCCTTCAGAAATGCTTTCCTGCATATGAAAGTTATTAAAGTCTTTTTAATCAGACTTACTGCATGTTCATTCACATACCAGGAGTTCTTTTTTTTTTCCTGTTCTGTTGTCCCACAGTGGTATCTTTAAAGCCTTCCCAGTGGGAAAGGTCCCTATAATCTATAATCCTTGAAAATGGTTTAGGGCTACCTTGTAAGATGCACAGATTGTTTACATAAAGATAGGCTAAGCAGGATGCTAACACCATCTGTGGGAGTCTAGAATTATCAAAGATTCTTTCCTTATAGTTGTCTTTTACCCAAACACTGGTATGGTCAGTTAGGTAAATGGTTATTTAATGTTTTTCTTTAATCAGAGAATTAACAACAACACTATTTCTACAGATATTATTTAAAGTTCCATTTAACTTCCTATCGTTTTTGCAAACCTGATTAATTCATGGACTGAAACCAGGGGAAGTATTTCTATTGCTTTAAATGAGGTCTCTCTGTATATCCCAGTTGAAGGGCTCATTCCTTCTGTGGAGGATCATTGTGCCTCCTACATAACAGATTGGAAGGTCTGACCAACTTGTTGAGTGCCAAACTCCTGCCTGCTGACACATAACTGTTAATTGTGTAATTAATTTGTAAGAACAGTTATGGGGGAAAAAAAACAAACAATAATCATTTACAAATTATCAACATTGTAATAATTTAAGTCATAGAGGAAAAAAAGATTTTCAGCTACAATTCAAATTATATCTTAACTCCAGTTCTTAACAAAGAGGAATTAACAGCCATGCTTTGCTATCACTTCACCATTCTACTTCCTACAGAAAAGGGCCTTAATTTCTATCTTACTAAAGAGCATTTCACCAAATGAAAAAACATGTTGATTTTGAACTAAGAAAAATATGTACCAATGTATTAGGTGAGTATTGTGTTATAATCAGACGATCTGGCAAGCAGAATATTTATATTATTGGCATTGTCCCAGTTAATAATTAGATCAACCGATGGCTTCTGTACGTAAACTTGAAAAATGATCTTTTCTTGCATGTCAGTAACTGTAAATTACAGTTCATTAGCATGCATATTATACTATACAGCAGTTTGGGAAGTCTAAATGAAATAAGTCTTTGTTAACATCATTCTAGTTGTTAGTTTTACTGACTGTGAGTGAATGAGGGCAATTTTCCACATTGCCCTCACTGACAGACAGCTGTGACCTTTGCAAGCAGCTAAGATTTGAGTTCCTATTAATGCTACTGAGGATGCATATAATTAGTGATTTCCCTAAGGAAAAGGTCACCATGGTCTTTAAAACTGGCTTACAGCTACCTTAACACATGCAGAAGAGGAATCCTTGTATAAGGAGGATTATTTGAGACTTAAGTATCCCGTGAGGGAGCCCACTTCTCAGCTACCACAGGTTGTCTCTCTGGATCCCATCAAGCCCTGGCTCCAGCCCCATCCTCTACCCTCAGGTGACCTGATGCTGACTCATTTATCAAAAAAGCAGCTCCCTGAGGTGGGGCAAGATGGGAATGCCTGTGTTCATTTACCTAGAGGCAAGCAAACTAAAAGTGACTGGGACATAAAGAAAACTGAAATCTTTCTGAAGAGATGGGATATGAGGCAAGACCCACAAACTTCACAAACTTACACGTAACTGACATCTGCCAGTCATCTATTCCAGACTCTGTACAGAGCAGAGCCAGCTCTGTAAATCATAATCATCATAGAATCATCATAGAATCATAGACTGGCAAGTCCATGATACTGCGCTTTACAACATGTGTAGTTAGTTTTTTTCCCAGCAATGAGTTTGAAGAAACGGCTGCCTGTGCTGCATTGTTGACCTCTTTTGTGATTTCCAAGATGTGTCCAAAAAGAGAGCATCTTCACATTGCTGGGAAGTCATCTAGCTCCACCTGTTGTCATGCTTCTCTTGGTAATCATAGAATCACAGAATGGCCTGCTTGAAAAGGACCTCAGTGATCACCCAGTTTCAACCCCCTGCAATGTGCAGGGTGGCCAACTACCAGACCAGGCTGCCCAGAGCCACATCCAGCCTGGTCTTGAATGCCTCCAGGGATGGGGCATCCACAACCTCCTTGGGCAACCTGTTCCAGTGTCACCATCTTGGATGAATTCCTCCTAATATCTAACTTAAACCTCCCCTGTCTTCATTAGATAGATATCCTATCTTCCCTCAGCATCTTCTCCAGACTGAACAAACCTAGTTCTGTAGCCTTCTCCTTCCTATAGTATCACTCATTATTTTATGTTGCATAGCATTATTTTATTAATTATTTATTTGTTCTTTATTTGTAGCACTATATATTGCATTTAGTACTGTTACATGACTGAAATTTCCTATTTCCTATTTTATTTGTAATCTCAAATTCATTTCATAAAAAATTGCTTGCACATCTTTACAGAAAACACCCCCAGGCAACTGAAAAGTACTTATTAAATCAAAATTAGTCCAGAATAGATCTGCCTTGTAACATGTAGATGCAATATCAATGAATATTGCCCTAGGTTATGATTTTAAATTCAGGATACAAAATTAGGCAGAACAGCTGTAGCCAGAAGAAACCACATTCATGCCCTTTTCATTTCAATGACTAAGATCTATTT